TCTCAACCCTGGGAGGGGGAGAGGGGTTAAGCCTTTTTCAAAGTGAATTCCTCCTTTCTCTGAAACAGCCAGAGCTTGTTTACCACACTGAGAAAGGAGGAGGCCTGCGCCTTTTCAAGGAAGCTTTTTCGCCCCTCAGAAGCAGCCAGTCAAGGCTGCTTCACCACATTGAGGGAGAGAAGCTAACTTTTTTCAAGGCGGTTCCAGTGGCGGCTAAATAAGGCAGTGTTCTGTCTAGCAGCAGCTATTTTGACAGAGCTAATGCCAAAGGGGAGGGGCTCCTACCTGCCTATCACCCTAAACGAATTACTAGAATGGCAGTCATTAACATGGTCTGCCAGACCAGTCCCTAGCAAAAAGATTGGCAACTCTCTGTGCACCGTAAGGCAGGCACGCTAAGGCCCCCCAGACACACCCTCCCCTGCGGGAGGTAAAGGTCTGCCCACGTCCGAGCACGAGCCCGAAGATGGGGTCCAGTTCACCAGAAGGTGCACAGAGAGTCATCCTAATGCCGAAAAAATCCGTAAAGGAAAGAGTAGGCTATAGGGCACGAAGTTAGATGCAAGCAAATAACTTCGTGGCAGCAACGAGGGCGGGCGCCGAGGCGCCCGGCAACACGTAGGAGCCGACCTGATGTTGCCGAGGGGTGGCTCCAGTCGATCTCTTTAAAAAAATCTCTTTAAAACACCCTCGGCAAAGTTCCGTCAATCAGGCATCACGGTGACCCCCTTTGTAGCCTTCGGCATGGCGTGGCTGCCACCCGCGGTACTCCGGGCATCACGGTGACCTTCTTGGCGTGTCGGCATGATGGTGCGGCCGTTTCGCGTTACGGCATCACGGTGGCTATCTTCGCGTTACCGGGCGGCCAGGTGCCACCTGCTGCGCCCCGTCGGTCTTCTTGGCCAGCACAATCCTCCCTTCACTCTGAAATAGCCAGGGGAGGCTACTTCAATGCAGGGAGAGAAGAGAGGAGGGTCCTTCCAAGTCGAATCCTGTGGCTGGAATGTCCTGTCAAAGGACAAAATTAAGAAGTAAAGAGGTGAATATATAAGGGGGGGGGGGGAAGGGAAAGTGTTGAAATTGAAGTAAGTAGGAGATATAAAAGTAGGGGGGCGAAGACCCCTTGCATGGTGATTCTCTCTATCTCTGGTCATGTCTGGAATTCGAGGGGGGGGGGAAGTCTTTGTTTGAATTTATTTACTTGTTGAATCTGGCACTGTGGTTAGTTGTTTAGTTATTTGAAGTAAAAACTGATACCTCTCTTTCTTTTTAATAAATATATATATAATCATATATATATTTATTTTTCAATTTTTAAATTTTATTTTGACGTTTAATGATTTTTGTTTTTCTTTACAGTGAATGGGTTAAGTGGAACTATAAAAGGAAAGTAAACTATAATTTTTTTTTTTTTTTTTTTTTTTTTTTTTTTTTTTTTTTTTTTTTTTTTTTTTTTTTTTTTTTTTAAGGAAACGATTAATGATTAACGAAATTAAAAGGCTTAAACTAGAGTAATACTGTCTAACTACAGTTTTTTTTTTTTTTTTTTTTTTTTTTTTTTTTTAAGTTATATGATTTTATATTTAGTTTTTAATTGCAATAACAAAGTAGTAAACCAAAAAAAAAAAAAAAAAAAAAAAAAAAAAAAAAAAAAAAAGAAGAAAGAGGCTGGGGAGTTCCAGTGGCAGGACGAAAGATCTAGAGTGGTGCAGAAAACGTAAGAGATGGATGACGAAGGGGAAACATAGCTAAACAGGACAGAGGGAGAAGGGTGAGATGAGATGAGTTAATGAGGCGAGTGGTTTGATAAGCGGATAAAGTGGCATGTGTAAAAACATTCGAGGGGAGTGAATTCTATGACAACTCGGTCTGACTTGCAACGTGGAGGGAACGAAAAGGGGATACATTAAATACAGTAAATATGGTGAAATGACATACAAATAAATAGGGTGGTGAAATAAAGCAAGCAAGCAAGCAAGCAAGCAAGCAAGCAAAAAAAAAAAAAAAAAAAAAAAAAAAAAAAAAAAAAAAAAAAAAAAAAAAAAAAATGTCCTGTCGCTGACAGCTCCGCGGCTTAAGTACACTAGCGCTGTGTAAGCACGCGGGGAACGAGGGGAGCCCGCTGGCCAATGAGCGCAGCCAGCGGCGGCGGACCTAGCATGACCCAACCTGGGAAAGTATGCTGAGCTTCAGGTTGCGGGGTCATGCTGCTACAATATATATATAT